GGAGCTAAACTCTGCAGGACAACGGCCCTCCAGGACCGAGTTTGGTGACCCCCACATTCTCAGTGAGAAACTGAGCAAAAAAAATGTTTGGTGCAGATTTATTTATATGGCCAAAAAGTAAGATAAAATAGTGTTATGTAAATCAATTACTATTGTTTTTTATAAAAGACTACTTGCTTATAAATATCAGCTGTCACTCCCAATAATATGTCTTAGTAAGACATTATTTAAATGCTTAATTTTATGATCAATGCACTGTAGTTTTTATTATGGGGCAAAACATGTAATGCAATGCAATACCATGACGACTGTGAGACGAACAAATAACATTCCTCAAAAGCGTGATGGATCATATTTGATATTCACATCTTAAGATTACATATGGATAATTGCTTTAGTCCATCAAATGTACATATTGAAATATTTCTAACAATATAAAAGCTACTCTTATGTTTACTTTACAAAATAATCATTAAATATTTCACAACCAAAAGAAACTTGTCCTGAAGGGGGGGTTTTTACGATTATACTATAAGACCTTTTACTTGCTAAATAAGTATCAACTATCAATCAGATGACAGAAGACATGTAGAAGATTGAGTATAACAGGATTTGTTTTAGCAATGTTTTCATCTTGTTAATAATTTAGAGGCCTATGTATTCATGTATCAAATTTACTACTGATACATTATTCTTTATATGGATAAAAGTGGTTCATACAGATGAGCTACAATCAGACTAGCGGGATCATTCAGCAGGCATAAAGAATCACCACACCATCCTATTAATATGAACTCAATCACATGATCCATTGAGGAGGTTTCACTCACCTTCTTGGACCTCCAGCAGCGGCAGTAGACGGCCTTGTCGCCGATGTCCTCCATGTCGAAGCTGTGCACTACTTTGGGGCTGTCTTTGTTGATTGACATGTTGACCCTGCTCTTGGGGCTACTCTGCGAACTGAAGTAGCGTGTCAACAGGTAGGTGCTCAGAGCCGCGGCCACTGCAACGGGAACGATGGTGGTCAGATGATCTGCAAATGTACACACGAGGAGGCGCTCTTTTTTGAGAGGGCCGGGAGGTTCCTGCACACTATTCTACAAGCATTTCTATTTTCTAGAAAAGATTTAGTTTAAACTTTGGGTCTGACAAAAGGAGGCAAAAATGTCCTCTTTTACATACATTTATGTATGTATGTATGTACAATATCTATTTTATTGTAGCTTTTCTTTTTTTTTTTTTAGTGATGGGAATATGCAGAAATCATACAGGAATCAGATTGCACTGTGAACCCTCAACATGTTTTGGATTTTTTTTCTGGATTCCACTTTAATGGTTAAAATAAACATTAGTAATCAAAAAGCTTTTCTAACTAATTGAAATCATGAAACGTATACAACTTATCAACAGTTTATAAGTTTAACAAAAACTATATTTTTAGGGTCCTATGAATTCTGTTTTTATTTTTCACAAATTCCATGTTTTCATAGTATTATAACTATAACTAATAGTACAGTAATTTTGACAGTGACGATCATGCGTCATATCATGCAATCATTTCACAAGTCTGAATAACTGCATTATCTCAGCATTTGAAATAAGTCGATCCTTAGCTCAGAAAATAAAACTGAATAGTGCGTGGCCATATTTTAAAGCTCCCTGGTTCCAATAAAATGTTTAATGATTTTCTATCTTCAATATCACTTATATATACATTTCATACAGCCTAATCCAATAGCTCCATATAATTGTCCATATTATTTTCTCGAATTAAGAAAATGTGAATTTAAATTTGAAACACGCCCGGTAGTTATTAATTAAGAGTTATACAATCAAAGCAATACTGCCCTTTGGAACAAACTACTTTAGACAAAATAACTTTGTAATTTGATATCAGTAAACCAACAAACTCAATGCCCAAACAACATAAACACAGTCTACAGCCTTAAAATCAATGATATGCATATAAATATTACAACCGTAGCACACATTTAGCCTATACAGCTTTTAGTGCACTATAAAACACATGCAGTACAGAATAAAGGTGTTTATTGATATTATACAGCAGGGATGGGCAACTTTAATAGTGACAAGGGCCAGTACTTTTTCTCCTTTATACCAAGGGGCTAGATTACTAATCCACGTCCACACACCTTTTATACCGTCTTACTCACTTTCCTTTTTAATGAAGGAAATCAAAGTATAATTAATGTAATTTGTTTTAAAAGATTTTATTAACTATATGAAACTTGTGCAGGTATGCTAATTAAAATTGGAAACTTAGTTGTCAGTTGACACCAATGTTACCCCAACAAGCCAGTGTAAACATCTCAATCGCATTGTCCGTAAATTTGCAACAAACGAATGTACAGAGGTCCTATTTTTTTATTAAATCAAAGTTAAGACCTTTAAAGAACTTTTAAGACTTGCACAAATAAAATTAATACCATATGAGCGAGGTAGGGCAATGTCCATGGTAACATATTAAACTCTAAAATTACTGTAAAAAGCTTGATTTACAGTTCAGATACAGGTTTTCACAAAAACAAAATGTTTTATAAAATGATAAACTTCACATTTCAGCCTTTAGACGATTTTTAAGATAAGAGATGAGCATCAATTTTTTTTATTAATTTTAAACAATTATTATCAATCAATTATATGAATTAAATAACCTATAAATATATCTTAGTGTCTTAATTGTTTAGATTTTTATAATGC